GAGTGGCCAGATGGTTATATTAGCCGCCGCTGTGAGAGGGAGTGTGGTGACTCTTAGAGTTCGGCTGAAAACCCTGGAAAGGTGGAACAGGGTAATTGCCCCTGCCTATGAACTGCTGAGGCTTAGGTCTTACTGAGTCATCCTTCTTGAGTGTGGGTGCATGGCTGTAAGTGTGAGAAGGATGAGCTGGACAATGGAAGTTCTGAGAAGGACCCTTGTGCTTCCCATTCCTGCAATCTTCTTTATGGTGAGAATCATGGCCTGCTGCAGGGGAGATGACACTCTGAGGACGAGCCTTGGGATCAGCCCCTCTTGCCCTCATAAGGTCACAGAGACACACTCCAGGCTGGTTTTGCTGGAGGTACTCATCCACAGTGGCTAAACTTTTCCCGAAATTAATCTCATCCTTAAGCTGAGTCCTTACATATGTAACAGCATTCGAAGGGAGGTCATTGCCAATTGAATCAATCATCAATAACAGATGCCAATTCTCATTAGCACACTTTGCAACTCGCAACCAATCATTAGAGAGGCGAACCTTGCATTTTCCAAAGGTACTACAGCTCTACTTCAATGGGAAAGCGGAGACAAACCTAGCACAACACTTAGCTGGCAAAGAGTTCTGCTAGGCAAGGAAAGTGCTTTTAACTTTCTTGTAGTCCCTCAGTTGCCCGTGGTCGAGTTCATTGACCAGGGTGAGCAGACTGGGTGGCATGGAGGCGAGCAGCCAATGACTCTTCTCAGCCTCTGTGCCTTCGCAAGCAGTTGCAAGGCTTTTGAAAGAGCGGATGTAAGTATCGAGCAGTTGCTTGCCGTCATCCTCCTATGTCTGTATTGGAGGGGCCTCTCACGAGGTTGTTCCCCATTTCCAGGTGAAGCACCACTGTCCGGAGTTCCCGCTCAAAGCTGAGTAGGCGCAAGCTCATGTTCTCATTGTGCTTGTGCCTGCATTCGGTCGTAATCGCATTGTGCTTGCTTGCTTTCTTGTTTCACTTGTGCTGCTCCTGCTCATATCCTTTCCTCTCCAGCTCGGCTCAGCATTTAGCCATCTTGTCATGAGCCCACTCGAGGAGTGTCGGTCCTGGGGAATAGCCGTATTTCTCTCCCATAGCAATCATCTTGTCCAGGTAACTCTCATCATTGAAAGTTTCGATGATTTCCTGTGACTGCCTGGTTTCCATGTTGGTTTCCTGTGACTGTCCAGTTGCCATGGTGGTTTTCTAAACATAAATACAACTGTGTTACTAGTTGTGTTTTTGTGTGTACTTTGAACAAAATCGTATTTAAAACTGTGTTTTTTTTTAATTTAATATGATCCTTCAATATAAGCAAATATATAAATAAATAAATAAAGCCATTAACTTGATGAATACAAACACAACAGTGTTGCTAGCTGTGTATCCGTGTGTATTTAGACTAAAGTCATATTTACAGCTATGAGTTCTATTATTTTTAAATTCATTATAATCCTTTAATATAATCAAATGTATAAAAAAAATGAATATATAAAGCCATAAACTTGATAAATACGAAAAGAGCTGTGTTGCTAGCGGTGTATTCGTGTGTTTTGAATAAAATCGTATTTACAGCGTATTGTTTCTTGGTTTTAAATTCAATATAAGTTTTCAAGATAACCAAATATATAAAAAAAGAATAAAATAAATCCTTTAACTTGATAAATACGAATACAGCTGTGTTGCTAGCTGTGTATTAATTTGTATTTAGAATAAAATTGTATTTACAGCCATGTTTTTTTTCCAATTCAGTATAATCCTTTATTATAACCAAATCTATAAACAAATTGATAAATAAAACAATTAAGTTGATAAATATAAATGCAGCTGCACTGCTAGCGGTGCATTTATTCATCGTGCTCAGAAACTGTTCAGCGTGAGTGGTTCAGTTTACAGCACCAGCCATGTAAGTCGAAAAATTAATTTACTAATGATTTATTGATTATTTATTGGCCTCTGATGTAACGGTGAAATGACCTAGCTCGGAACGACGTCATGCAAGGACCTACTGTATATATATATATATATATATATATATATATATATATATATATATATATATATATATATATATATATATATATATATATATATATATATATATATATATATATATATATATATATATATATATATATATATATATATATATATATATATATATATATATATATATATATATATATATATATATATATATATATATATATATATATATATATATATATATATATATATATATATATATATATATATATATATAAATATATATATATATATATATATATATGTATGTATGTATGTATGTATGTATGTATGTATGTATGTATGTATGTATGTATGTATGTATGTATGTATGTATGTACGTACGTACGTACGTACGTACGTACGTACGTACATACATACATACATACATACATACATACATACATACATACATACATACATACATACATACATCCATACATGCATGCATGCATGCATACATACATACATACATACATACATACATACATACATACATACATACATACATACATACATACATACATACATACATACATACATACATACATATATATATATATATATATATATATATATATATATATATATATATATATATATATATATATATATATATATATATATATATATATATATATATATATATATATATATATATATATATATATATATATATATATATATATATATATATATATATATATATATATATATATATATATATATATATATATATATATATATATATATATATATATATATATATATATATATATATATATATATATATATATATATATATATATATATATATATATATATATATATATATATATATATATATATATATATATATATATATATATATATATATATATATATATATATATATATATATATATATATATATATATATATATATATATATATATATATATATATATATACATATATATATATATATATATATATATATATATATATATATATATATATATATATATATATATATATATATATATATATATATGAAACATTTTTTACCCCGACCGGGACTCGAACCTAGGACTTATGATTACTAAGTCAAGGCGCTACCACTACACCACAGAAGGTATAAAAGGAATCCAACCTTATAGCTTATATCTGCTATACTTAGGAATGAACGCATTCTAACTGAATGCCATTATGTTCATATTACAGATTCCCCAACCTCACTCGTGGATTTATTTTAGCATTTAATTCAAATAGCAATCTCATTCGGGACATGAAATAACCAATTAAGCACATTACATATGTGAAAACATGAATCATTTTTTACCCCGACTGGGACTCGAACCTAGGGCTTATGATTACTAAGTCAAGGCGCTACCACTACACCACAGAAGGCATAAAAGGAATCCAACATTATAGCTTATATCTGCTATACTTAGGAATGAACGCATTTTAACTGAATGCCTTTATGTTCATATTACAGATTCCCCAACCTCACTCGTGGCTTCATATTAGCATTTAATTCAAATCCCAATCTCATTCGGGACATTAAATAACCAATTAAGCACATTACATATGTGAAAACATGAATCGTTTTTTACCCCGACCGGGACTCGAACCTAGGACTTATGATTACTAAGTCAAGGCGCTACCACTACACCTAAGAAGGCATAAAAGGAATCCAAGCTTATAGCTTATATCTGCTATACTTAGGAATGAACGCATTCTAACTGAATGCCACTATGTTCATATTACAGATTCCCCAACCTCACTCGTGGCTTCATATTAGCATTTAATTCAAATCCCAATCTCATTCGGGCCATGAAATAACCAATTAAGCACATTACATATGTGAAAACATGAATCGTTTTTTACCCCGACCGGGACTCGAACCTAGGACTTATGATTACTAAGTCAAGGCGCTACCACTACACAACAGAAGGTTAAAAGGAATCCAACCTTATAGCTTATATCTGCTATACTTAGGAATGAACGCATTCTAACTGAATGCCACTATGTTCATATTACAGATTCCCCAACCTCACTCGTGGCTTCATATTAGCATTTAATTCAAATCCCAATCTCATTCGGGCCATGAAATAACCAATTAAGCACATTACATATGTGAAAACATGAATCATATTTTTACCCCGACCGGGACTCGAACTTAGGACTTATGATTACTAAGTCAGGGCGCTACCACTACATCACAGAAGGCATAAAAGGAATCCAACCTTATAGCTTATATCTGCTATACTTAAGAATGAACGCATTATAATTGAATGCCACTATGTTCATATTACAGATTCCCCAACCTCACTCGTGGCTTTATTGTAGCATTTAATTAAAATAGCAATCTCATTCGGGACATGAAATAACCAATTAAGAACATTACATATGTGAAAACATGAATCATTTTTTACCTCGACCGGGTCTCGAACCTAGGACTTATGATTACTAAGTCAAGGCGCTACCACTACACCACAGAACGCATAAAAGGAATCCAGCCTTATAGCTTATATCTGCTATACTTAGGAATGAACGCATTCTAACTGAATGCCACTATGTTCATATTACAGATTCCCCAACCTCACTCGTGGCTTCATATTAGCATTTAATTCAAATCTCAATCTCATTCGGGCCATGAAATAACCAATTAATCACATTACATATGTGAAAACATGAATCATTTTTTACCCCGACCGGGACTCGAACCTAGGACTTATGATTACTAAGTCAAGGCGCTACCACTACACCACAGAAGGTATAAAAGGAATCCAAGCTTATAGCTTATATCTGCTATACTTAAGAATGAACGCATTCTAACTGAATGCCACTATGTTCATATTACAGATTCCCCAACCACACTCGTGGCTTCATTTTAGCATTTAATTCAAATCCCAATCTCATTCAGGCCATGAAATAACCAATTAAGCACATTACATATGTGAAAACATGAATAATTTTTTACCCCGCCCAGGACTCGAACCTAGGGCCTATGATTACTAAGACAAGGTGCTACCACTACACCACAGAAAGGTATAAAAGGGATCCAACCTTATAGCTTATATCTGCTATACTTAGAAATGAGCGCATTCTAACTGAATGCCACTATGTTCATATTACAGATTCCCCAACCTCACTGGTGGCTTCATTTTAGCATTTAATTCATATCCCAATCTCATTCGGGCCATGAAATAACCAATTAAGCACATTACATATGTGAAAACAGGAATCATTTTTTACCCCGACCGGGACTCGAACCTAGGACTTATGATTACTAAGTCAAGGCGCTACCACTACACCACAGAAGGTATAAAAGGAATCCAACCTTATAGCTTATATCCGATATACTTAGGAATGAACGCATTCTAACTGAATGCCACTATGTTCATATTACAGATTCACCAACCTCACTCGTGGCTTCATTTTAGCATTTAATTCAAATCCCAATCTCATTCGGGACATTAAATAACCAATTAAGCACATTACATATGTGAAAACATGAATCATTTTTTACCCCGACCGGGACTCGAACCTAGGACTTATGATTAAAAGTCAAGGTGCTACCACTACACCTAAGAAGGCATAAAAGGAATCCAACCTTATAGCTTATATCTGCTATACTTAGGAATGAACGCATTCTAACTGAATGCCACTATGTTCATATTACAGATTCCCCAACCTCACTCGTGGCTTCATTTAAGCATTTAATTCAAATAGCAATCTCATTCGGGCCATGAAATAACCAATTAAGCACATTACATATGTGAAAACACAAATCAGTTTTTACCCCGACCGGGACTCGAACCTAGGACTTATGATTACTAAGTCAAGGCGCTACCACTACACCACAGAAGGTATAAAAGGAATCCAACCTTATAGCTTATATCTGCTATACTTAGGAATGAATGCATTCTAACTGAATGCCACTATGTTCATATTACAGATTCCCCAACCTCACTCGTGGCTTCATTTTAGCATTTAATTCAAATCCCAATCTCATTCACGCCATGAAATAACCAATTAAGCACATTACATATGTGAAAACAGGAATCGTTTTTTTCCCCGACCGGGACTCCCACCTAGGTCTTATGATTACTAAGTCAAGGCGCTACCACTACACCAGAGAAGGTATAAAAGGAATCCAAACTTATAGCTTATATCTGCATCTACTTAGGAATTAACGAATTCTAACTGAATGCCACTATGTTCATATTACAGATTCCCCAACCTCACTCGTGGCTTCATTTTAGCATTCAATTCAAATCCCAATCTCATTCGGGCCATGAAATAATCAATTAAGCCCATTACATATGTGAAAACATGAATCATTTTTTACCCCGACCGGGACTTGAACCTAGGACTTATGATTACTAAGTCAAGGCGCTACCACTACACCACAGAAGGCATAAAAGGAATCCAACCTTATAGCTTATATCTGCTATACTTAGGAATTAACGCATTCTAACTGAATGCCACTATGTTCATATTACAGATTCCCCAACCACACTCGTGGCTTCATTTTAGCATTTAATTCAAATCCCAATCTCATTCAGGCCATGAAATAACCAATTAAGCACATTACATATGTGAAAACATGAATCATTTTTTACCCCGATTGGAACTCAAACCTAGGACCTATGATTACTAAGTCAAGGCGCTACCACTACAACACAGAAGGTAAAAAAGGAATCCAACCTTATGGCTTATAACTGCTTTAATTAGGAATTAACGCATTCTAACTGAATGCCACTATCTTCATATTACAGATTCCCCAACCTCACTTGTGGCTTCATTTTAGCATTTACTTCAAATCCCAATCTCATTCGGGCCATGAAATAACCAATTAAGCACATTACATATGTGAAAACATGAATCATTTTTTACCCCGACCGGGACTCGAATCTAGAAGTTATGATTACTAAATCAAGGCGCTACCACTACACAACAGAAGGTTAAAAGGAACCAACCTTATAGCTTATATCTGCTATACTTAGGAATGAACGCATTCTAACTGAATGCCACTGTGTTCATATTACAGATTCCCCAACCTCACTCGTGGCTTCATTTTAGCATTTAATTCAATTCCCAATCTCATTCGGTCCATGAAATTATCAAATAAGCACATTACATATGTGAAAACATGAATCATTTTTTACCCCGACCGGGACTCGAACCTAGGACTTATGATTACTAAGTCAAGGCGCTACCACAACACCACAGAAGGTATAAAAGGAATCCAACCTTATAGCTTATATCTGCTATACTTAGGAATGAACACATTTTAACTGAATGCCACTATGTTCATATTACAGATTCCCCAAACTCACACGTGGCTTCAATTTAGCATTTAATTCAAATCCCAATCTCATTCAGGCCATGAAATAACCAATTAAGCACATTACATATGTGAAAACATGAATCGTTTTTTACACCGACCGGGACTCGAACCTAGGTCTTATGATTACTAAGTCAAGGCGCTACCACTACACCACAGAAGGTATAAAAGGAATCCAAACTTATAGCTTATATCTGCTATACTTAGGAATTAACGCATTCTAACTGAATGCCACTATGTTCATATTACAGATTCCCCAACCTCACTCGTGGCTTCATTTTAGCATTCAATTCAAATCCCAATCTCATTCGGGCCATGAAATAATCAATTAAGCCCATTACATATGTGAAAACATGAATCATTTTTTACCCCGACCGGGACTCGAACCTAGGACATATGATTACTAAGTCAAGGCGCTACCACTACACCACAGAAGGCATAAAAGGAATCCAACTTTATAGCTCATATCTGCTATACTTAGGAATGAACGCATTCTAACTGAATGCCACTATGTTAATATTACAGATTCCCCAACCACACTCGTGGCTTCATTTTAGCATTTAATTCAAATCCCAATCTCATTCAGGCCATGAAATAACCAATTAAGCACATTACATATGTGAAAACATGAATCATTTTTTACCCCGATTGGGACTCAAACCTAGGACCTATGATTACTAAGTCAAGGCGCTACCACTACAACACAGAAGGTAAAAAAGGAATCCAAAATTATGGCTTATAACTGCTTTACTTAGGAATTAACGCATTCTAACTGAATGCCACTATGTTCATATTACAGATTCCCCAACCTCACTTGTGGCTTCATTTTAGCATTTACTTCAAATCCCAATCTCATTCGGGCCATGAAATAACCAATTAAGCACATTACATATGTGAAAACATGAATCATTTTTTACCCCGACCGGGACTCGAATCTAGGACTTATGATTACTAAGTCAAGGCGCTACCACTACACCACAGAAGGTTAAAAGGAACCCAACCTTATAGCTTATATCTGCTATACTTAGGAATGAACGCATTCTAACTGAATGCCACTGTGTTCATATTACAGATTCCCCAACCTCACTCGTGGCTTCATTTTAGCATATAATTCAATTCCCAATCTCATTCGGGCCATGAAATTATCAAATAAGCACATTACATATGTGAAAACATGAATCATTTTTTACCCCGACCGGGACTCGAACCTAGGACTTATGATTACTAAGTCAAGGCACTACCACTACACCGCAGAAGGTATAAAAGGAATCCAACCTTATAGCTTATATCTGCTATACTTAGGAATGAACACATTTTAACTGAATGCCACTCTGTTCATATTACAGATTCCCCAACCTTACTCTTGGCTTCATTTTAGCATTTAATTAAAATCCTAATCTCATTCGGGACATGAAATAACCAGTTAAGCACATTACATATGTGAAAACATGAATCATTTTTTACCCCGACCGGGACTCGAACCTAGGACTTATGATTACTAAGTCAAGGCGCTACCACTACACCACAGATGGTTAAAAGGAACCCAACCTTATAGCTTATATCTGCTATACTTAGGAATGAACGCGTTCTAACTGAATGCCACTATGTTCATATTACAGATTCCCCAACCTCACTTGTGGCTTCATTTTAGCATTTAATTCAAATCCCAATCTCATTCGGGCCATGAAATAACTAAATAAGCACATTACATATGTGAAAACATGAATCGTTTTTTTACCCCGACCGGGACTCAGACCTAGGACTTATGATTACTAAGTCAAAGCACTACCACTACACCACAGAAGGTATAAAAGGAATCCAACCTTATAGCTTATATCTGCTATACTTAGGAGTGAACGCATTCTAACTGAATGCCACTATGTTCATATTACAGATTCCCCAACCTCACTTGTGGCTTCATTTTAGCATTTAATTCAAATCCCAATCTCATTCGGGACATTAAATAACCAATTAAGCACATTACATATGTGAAAAATGAATCATTTTTTGCCCCGACCGGGACTCGAACCTAGGACTTACGATTACTAAGTCAAGGCGCTACCACTACACCACAGAAGGTATAAAAGGAATCCAACCTTATAGCTTATATTTGCTATACTTAGGAATGAACGCATTCTAACTGAATGCCACTATGTTCATATTACAGAATCACCAACCTCACTCGTGGCTTCATTTTAGCATTTAATTCAAATCCCAATCTCATTCGGGCCATGAAATAACCAATTAAGCACATTACATATGTGAAAACATGAATCATTTTTTACCCTGACTGGGACTCGAACCTAGGACTCATGATTACTAAGTCAAGGCTCTACCACTACACCAAAGAAGGTATAAAAGGAATCCAAGCTTATAGCTTATATCTGCTATACTTAGGAATGAACGCATTCTAACTGAATGTCACTATGTTCAAAGTACAGATTCCCACACCTCACTCGTGGCTTCATTTTAGCATTTAATTCAAATCCCAATCTCATTCGGGCCATGAAATAACCAATTAAGCACATTACATATGTGAAAACATGAATCATTTTTTACCCCGACCGGGACTCGAACCTAGGACTTATGATTACTAAGTCAATATGAACATAGTGGCATTCAGTTAGAATGCGTTCATTCCTAAGTATAGCAGATATAAGCTATAAGGCTGGATTCCTTTTATACCTTCTGTGGTGTAGTG